AAATTATCTTATTAATTAAGTTATAACTACTTTAATTTATACACAATTTATATTATAAGCTTGTATTTCATGTAAAATAATATTTACAAAAGGTGTTTTTCAAATTCTAAAATGTTGAACTCCACCAAGCGGTTTGATAGGTCACGCGTCTCATTGAGAAAGGTGAAATATTCATCAGATCTGAAGATCAAATCCCAGTTACTAGTATTTAACAAAACTAACCTACTAACCATTGCCCTTATAAAAAAAAAAAAAATTCTAAAGTGTTAAAAACTTAAAGTTATGTATTCGTAACTTCTTGAAAATGCATTCTTAAAAGTTTTAAATTATATCATTTTTATTTAATTAAAATTTAATTTAAAATTTAATTTTTTTTATTAAATATTAATATTTATATTTAAAAACTTGTTATATTATAATATATAATGAGTTTTCAAATCTAAATATCAATATTTAATAAAATAAAATTTTAATTTTTAGATATAAGTTGAAATTTCAATTATTTTTTAAATCAAAACTAATACACACTATTCTCATTTTATATATATAAAATTTATATTAAATTTTAATAATTTATATAAATAATAATTAAAAATTTTATGTAAAATTTTTATTGAGTATTTCAATTTAATTAAAATATTTTTTAATTATAATCTATATAATATGTTAACTTTTTATTTAAAATTTATATCTAATTTTTTTTAAAAAAAATACTAAAAATAAATAGAAGTATTAAATTGCAGAGTTTTTAGTTCAAATTTACACTCTCGGGAATTTGGGTTTGAAATTATCATTATATTCTTTTTAAGGTTCTTTAGATGGTAAAATCAAGGTCTTTAGATAAGGAAGAGGGCCTAATCTAGAGTTACTGAGTTCCTTTCCAATCTAAAGATAGTAACTCTATAATCAAATATTTTCTAAACTACAAAATCATTTTTTTTTTAGTATTGTTTCAATAATATTTTTGTTATTTTTAACCTGAATTAGAGGTGACAAAAAAAAAATCTGAATTAGAAATGACTAATCATCATTTTCTTTTACATTACCAATAGTAATCTTCAATAAATAAAGATACCGAAAAAATGAATAAAATGATATGAAATGAAGAATTCCAAGGCAAAAACAATATAATAAAATAAAAATTAATCTTTAATTTATTAATTCTTTAATTAAATTTACTTAATATTAAAATTAATATCAATTTTTACATTTTTTATATACATTTATAATAAAAAGTGTAAGAAAAACCCTAAAATAAAAGTTAAAGATCTAACTACCTCTAATTAAAACAGTTAAGAATTTCATAACACCTACGGGCTTATTAATGGAATTTTTAAAATTTTAATGAAAAAAAATAACCACATCAGCATATTAAAAGTCCACACCAGACTTCAAAATTAAATTACTTAACGGTTCAGAAGAAGTGAAAAGTAGTAAAAAAATACGTTTAACAGTTTAAGGACCATTTCTTAGCCAGAAAAAGTTTTCGAACCAAAGGTGACCAAGAAAAAGTTACATATAAGAACACAAATATTGTTAATTTTTTTATTTAAAAAATAAATTTTATATTTTATTTAAAAGTTAATTAAATAACGATAATAGTGTAATAAATAATTTTTAAAATTTTTAATTAATTTTTAAATTAAAAAAATAAAATTCATATTCTCATTTTTACCTT